ACGGCGTCGGGGGTCTGGGTCCTCCTCCGCCTTTTCCCCCTCGTCGGCCCCTGGCCATTGCCGTCTTGGCTCGAGCACTTCGCCCCGAGCACCTCTGTCCCGAGCAAAGAAGCCCCGCGCGCCCCAGGCCCGCCACCCCAAGCCCGAGACATGGCAGCGACCCGCGCCGCCACCGTCCTGCTGCTGGTCCTTTGCCCCGCCAGCCACGCCGCTCTCCTGAAGGCCAGCTCCGAGGGCACGTGCCCGTCGACCTCGATCGCGGTGGCGTTCAGCGTCGATGCGGCCGGGACCGAGCAGTGGATGCCGCCCTGCGAAGCGACCGTGCCGGACCAGTGCGTTTCGGCCGGGGTGGACACCAGCTCGTTCCCCGTCACCAAGCTGAAGATCTGCGGCCCAGGCAAGTTCAGCATCTCCCGCATGAGTTGTGACCGCCACGATTACAAGGCCGACGTCTACGTGCACCCCACCAACGAGTACACGGCGACTGACTGCAAGGTGTACGACATGACGGGCACGAACGTTCATGGCTACGTCGGGAGCTTCTCTTACGAGTGCGACACCACCGCTCGCTGAGGCGGCCTGCGTGAGCCCTAGGTCCAGTCGGGGCGAACCGGGTTGCGCGGTGGTCAGCCCAAGGCCGAAACACATATTCTAGATGCTTGCGTCAGTCTACCGACCCCTAGCAGCAGGGCGGAGGCGTGCTGATACGTTTGGTTTGTCTGAGCCCTCTTTGGGCTCCTTGAAGCTCTTGTGCTGTCTCGGGCTCCTCTCGGGGCTATTTTATCTTGGGACTCTTTTGGAAGCCGCTCGAACCATTTTGGGTTCGTCCTGAAAACCACTGACCACAAACATGTCAGATCATTAATTCGGCCGCTTCCTCTGGACCTTGTGGGGGCTCTGTTGGAGACATTTTGAAATTCTAGACGCTTCGCGTATCCCCACCAGCCCGTCCAGAAATGAGTCCCAGGGGAGTGGAGGTTATGAGGGAAGCGGGGGAGCATGCAGAAGAACAAAGGGCGGGGTGAGCCGCCATATACCCCAAGAGGGGGAGGATGTAGGAGGAGCCGTCGTCGTCGGAGTAGGAGGAGGAAGAGGAGGAGCAGGAGGAGGAGCAGGAGGAGGAGGAGGAGGAATAGAAGGAGGAGGAGATGGAGGACTGCGAGGACGAGGAGGACGAGAAGGAGGAAAAGGAGGAGGAGGAGGAGGAGGAGGAGGAGGAGGGGGAGGGGGAGGAGGGAGGAGGAAGAAAAAGAGGAGGAGGAGGAGGAGGACAATTGCGAGCTTGGGGGCCTCTTGGGCCGTCCTTGGGGCCTCTTGGCGGTCCCGGGGGCCTCTTGCGTATCTCGGGGAGCCTCTTGTGGCCTCTTGGGGGTCTCTTGGGGGCCTCTTGGAGGCCTCTTGGGGGCCTCTTGGGGCCTCTTGGGGCCCTCTTGGGGCGCTCTTGGGGCGCTCTTGGGAGCCTTCGAGGCGCTCTTGGGGCCATCTTGGAGGAGATCTATCAAAGAAGGGGGGGTCCCCAATTAGCGCTGCCCCTCTAGAGTGCCTCGAGTCGCCTCTTGGGCCCCCCCAAGAGGCCAAAATCCTTCCAAAACCTAGGTAAAATCAATGTTTTTTGTTTTCTCGCCTTTTCGCTCTTGGACCCGTCTTGGGAGCCTCTTGGGCCTCTTGGGGGTCTCTTGGCAACGTCTTGGAGGCTTCTTGGGGGCCTCTTGGGGTCTCTTGGGGCCCTCTTGAGGCGCTCTTGGGGCGCTCTTGGGAGCCTTCGGGGCGCTCTTTGGGCCATCTTGGAGGAGATCTATCAAAGAAGGGGGGGTTGCTTATTAGCCCCGCCCCTCCAGAGTGCCTCGAGTCGCCTCTTGGGCCCCCCCAAGATGCCAAAATCCTTCCAAAACCTAGGTAAAATCAATGTTTTGTGTTTTCTCGCCTGTTCGCTCTTGGAGCTGTCTTGGGCCATCTTGGACGCTCTGACACCTCGCGACCGGCCCCGTCCAGGTCAGTGGGGAGGGGTAAGGGGAGGGGTAAACCCCTCCCCGAAGGGGAAGAAGGGGGTTGGCAGAGGAAACTCCCTAGACCACCTACGCCCTAAAGGGCTGGTGGGATTTTCGTCTGTCCTGTCGGGGCCCTTTCGGGGCCTTCGTGGGGCCATCGTGGAGGCCTCAGGAGCCCGAGAATCAAAAGTACCGTCAAGTTTTGGTGCAAGTCTGATTGACAGCGACGACGGCGACGATGACGATGACGATGACCATCACGATGATGATGATGATGATGATGATGATGATGATGATGATGATGATGATGATGATGATGATGATGATGATGATGATGATGATGATGATGATGATGATGATGATGATGATGATGATGATGATGATGATGATGATGATGATGATGATGATGATGATGATGATGATGATGATGATGATGATGATGTGATGATGATGATGATGATGATGATGATGATGATGATGATGATGATGATGATGATGATGATGATGATGAT